ATCAATAACAGAAACATAAAACAGGAAAACCTCCAGACATTTGCAACTAAAAGTACACACATCTAAATAATCCATGGGTCAAAGAAGTCTTAAGTAAAAAATAATAACAATACTAATAATTGAATTAAATGAAAATACAACACATGAAACTTTGTGGGACACAGCTAAAGTAGCGCAGAAAGGGAAAATTTGAGGGCTAAATGTTTATCTTATAAAAGGGGGAAAGGTTCAAATCACAGACTCAAAGCTCCCACATCATTAAACTAGAAAAACAGCAAAATAAACCCAAAGCAAACAAAAGGAAAATAATAAAGTCAGGAACAGAAATCAATGAAATTGATAACAGAAAAATGGAGAGAAGTGATAAAACAAAAAGCTGTTTATTTAAAAAGATCAATAAACTTGACACACCTTTCATGAGACTAACACAAAAAAGACAGAAGAGACAATAACAAAAAAACAGAATAGGAGACAGCAATGTAGACTCTGCAGACTCAAAAGGATAATGTAGCAAACAACTTTACACACATTAAATTGACAACCTAGTGAAATAAACCGATTTCTTAAAAGGCATAAACTACCACAGTTCACTCAATATGAACTAGGTAATTTGAATAAACCTGTAACTATTAAGGAAACTGGATTTGTATCTTAAAAACTCAAAAATAAATCTCCAGGCTCAGATAGTTTCACTGAGTAAATGCTTAAAGAATTAACACCAATATACACAATCTCTTCTGGAATACAGACAAGGTGAAGAGATTTTCCAACTCTTTTTATGAAGCCTGCATTGTCTTGATACCAAAACCACTCAAAGACAGTACAAAAAGAAAAACTAGACAAATAAACACTTGTGGACATAGATGTAAAAATCCTCAACAAAATATTAATATTAGCAAACTGAATTCAGCTATATTTAAAAAGAATGCATTGCAACCAAGTATACTTTATTATGGGAATGCAAGGCTGGTTCAATACTTGAAAAGCAATCAATGTAATCCACCTCAATAGACTCAAGAAGAAAAACTGCATCACAATTATCAATTGATGCAGAAAAAATGTTGGACAAAATCTGACATCTACTTGTGAGAAAACTCTCAACAAATCAGAAATAGAATGGGATTTCTTCAACTTGATAAAGGGCATCTATAACATAAAACCTGCAAGTAATATCATACTTAATTTTAAAAGACTGATTGATTTCCCCCTTAGATTAGGAACAAGTTAAAGATGTCCACTCTCACTACTCCTATTTATGATACATGAAGTCTTAGTCAGTACAACAAGTCACAAAAAAATAAATACTATGTTTACAGATTAGGAAAAAAGTAAATAAAACTGTCACTATTCACAAATGACATGATTATCTTTGTAGAAAAACCTAAAGATTCTACCAAAAATGAAACAAACCCTGGAACAAATAAGTGAATTTAGTAAAGTCACTGGATACAAGGACAACAAATAAAATTTAACTGTATTTCTATATATAAAAATGTATACTTTGAAACCAAAATTTTAAAAAATGAGATTTACAACAGCTCCCAAAAGATTAAATACTTAGGTTTAAGAGTAGCAAAACACGTACAGAAATTGTATGTTGAAAACTACAAAACACTAATAAAACAAATTGAAGATCTAAATAAAAAAGACCTATTGTGTTCATGGATTGGAAGACTCAACAAGGTAAAAATAGCAGTTCTCCCCAAATTACTCTGTGGGTTAAATACAATTCCAATCAAAGTGCCAGCAAAATTTTTACATAAACAAGCTGATTCTAAACATTATATAGAAAGGCAAAAGAACTAGAATAGGCAAAATAATTTTTAAAAAGAATAATACTTGAGTAAATCATACTACCTGATTTTAAGACACTATAATGCTAAATTAAGAAAATGTGACACAGTAAGTCCCCTACATATGGACCTTCAATTTGCAAACTTTCCAAGATGCAAATGCATGCATTCATGTCCAATCACATAAACTAATTCATATATTTGGTGCATGTATCCTCTACAAGTGGTTATGCTTTTGTGTACTTTATAGTACTGTGTAGTACTGTATGTAGTATAGTATCTTTAAGCCCAAGATATCCAGAAGCAAGCATAAAAGCAGCAGTAATGTAGCTAGTACTGTAGAGCCAATTGTGTTAGTTGGGTATCTAGGTTAACTATGTTGAACTTCTGAACAAATAGGACTTATGAACATGCTCTCTGAACAGAACCTGTTCTTATGTAGAGGACTTACTGTAAAGGAAAAGATACATGAATCAATGGAACAAAACAGAAGGCTCAAAATAGACCCACACAAATAAGGCCAATTGGTTTTTGACAAAAGTGCAAAAGCAATTCAGTGGAGATAAGGCAGTCTTTGCAGAAACAGTGATGGAACAATTGGATATCTATATGCAAAAAAGTAAACCCTCATCTAAACATCACACCTTCTACAATTAACTCAAAATGGATCACAGGTCTAGATGTAAAACTCTGACTTTTAGAAGGAGATAACATTGATCTGGGGTTAAGCAAAGAGTTCTATAAAAGGAAAAATTGATAAACTGGACTTCATCAAAATTAAAAACATTTTCTTTCTGAACAATATTGTTAAGATTGAAAAGACAAGCTACAGACTGGAAGTAAATATTTGCAAAACATTTAATAGCTAAAATAATTTTTAAAAAGAATGAAGTTGTAAGAAATCATACCTACCTGATTTTAAGGAAATCATAGTATCTGATTTTATATCTGACATATAATTTAAACTAGAACATATAAAGAATCTTCAAAACTCAACATAAGAAAACAAATCATCCAACCTGGCAAAGGACTTGGCCAGATACCTTACCAAAGAGTACATGTGACAAATGAACACATGAAAAGATATTCAACATCTTTGGCCGTTAGTTAAAGACACATTAAAACCACTAAGAGATAGCACTACACACCACTATTAGAATGGCTACATTTTTAAAAATACAGACAATACCAGATACTAGGGAGGATGTGCAGCAACTAGAACTGTCACATGTTGCTGGTGAGGATGCTAAATGATTCAGCCACTCTAGAAAAGTTTGAGTTTTTGTTTATGTTTTTTTTTTTTTTTTTTATTGACAGGGTCTTGCTCTGTCACCCAAGCTGGAGGGCAACAGAGTGATCATAGCTCACTGCAGTCTCGAACTCCTGGGCTTAAGCAGTCCTCCCGCCTCAGCCTCCCAAACTACACAGGGCCAGTTTGACAGTTTTTAAAAAGTTAAACATACACTTACCATATGACCCTGCAATCCACTCCTAGCAATACCCTAGAGAAATGAAAACTTATGATCACACAAAAAACTGTATATAATATTTATAGCAGCTCTATTCATAAACAACTCCCCAAAACTGAAAACAACCTGAATGTCCTTCAACCAGAAGATACAGAAAAAAACTGTGGCACATCCACAAAATGAAATACTACTCAGTAATAAAAAGAGAAATTATCCATACACTAAACCACCTGGAGGAATTTTAAAGGCATTATGTTGCGTGAAGAAAGCCAATATTCAAAAGGCTACTGTTATGATTCCATTTATATAAAATTCTGGAAAAGATCAGTAATTGCCAGCGGTCAGAGGTAAAGGGTGTGATATAAAGGGGTGCCATGAGTTTTTTGGTGAGAGGGGTGTAACCACCTTATTGTAATGGTGGTTACATGAATCTAAAATTCACACAACTATACACCAAAAAGAGGTCAGTTTTACAATACCATTTTAAAAAGAATAAAATGTAAATTAAAAAGCAAAAGCAAACAACACAGACAGTTGGATTCTTGCAATTCTCAGACACTACCTATAGACTGAAAGTACTCTGTCAAAACAACTACGTTCTTAGAAAATAAGCATAATTCTGAGGGCAATTAAAAAAAAAACCCTGACAGTAATACTTTATATAAACATCCTTTCTCCTCAAACTTAATGTTTAACATTTTGCTAACTAATGTAGTCATAAGTTAGAAAAGGGAAGGATGGGTTAGTAAATTAACTGACTGATCAAAAGGTTTTTTCGTAACAGCCTTTTACCTAAGTACAGGTATGATTATATTTGTAAAAAACCCTGGAAAACTTCTTAGGGTCGATGACATTACCTAAAAGATGTTAGGAGTTATATAAAGCCTAGATCCCTTTTCAGATCCGCCTGCCAGTTCACTAGCTCCGGGTAGTGAAGCTCTTACTCTGCCACTCGCTCTCAGCCTCTTATTCCTGGGATCTCCGAGTGAACTTGAATTCACTGTCAAGGAAGTCCTGCAGTCTGGCTCATTCATATTCCAGCAGCCTTCGAGCAAAAAACTAGGGAAGGGTGGGGCCGCGGGGAAAGAGGGGCCCCACTGCAGGGAGAAGAGGGGTGTCCAGAAGCCACGGTCGAGCCGGGAACCCTCCGCCCTGCCCCCGTCAAACCTCCCTCGAGCACCAAACGCCCTTCGGGTGTTTCGCCGGCCTGGGTCGACCCCTCCTCTCTGGGGCTGGGGGAGGGCAGGGGGCTGGGCGCTCGGCCAGGCCGGGGCGCAGCGCCGCGTCCCCGGTGCACCCCTCGCTCCCCCCGCCGCCGGGGCAATTCCAGGG